GGGCTACTCAAGGATGTTGTTACATTTTAAGTTTTCCCGCCTTTTCGGGGGTAAATTTAATGACGTGTGTCAAGGGTTTTTTGGGAAATTTTAAACAAACAGCTTTAAGCTAATCTTTTGATTAAGTAGTTTTTCCAAAAATTTAGTGAAAAGTGCCTAGGACTTAATGGTCCCTTAAAAAAAGTGACAGGGAAAAAAATGTGAATTTAAAAAACAAAAATCAGTGCTAAAGGAAGAAATTAAAATTTTTCAAGGAAAACAACCCTTAAAACAGCCAAAGAGAAGTCCCCAAAGGACAAATTTAAAAAAAGATACATTTGGGAGTGTTCCATCACCGAACAAAGCTTCAAAATTACTCTACTTCAAACTAAACCTTCAATTTTCTTGATGTGCCCCGTATCTCGACCTTCTCTCAGCAGTGAGACATCCGACAACTTAAAAGGAACTTCTGAAGTTTCTACAAAAAAGTTGAAATTGGGGAACTTAAAAAGGGAATTCACAGTGGAATAGAAAACATTAATGCATGGTTCTTACAAAAACAACGAACTCTAAGTGAATTTCATAAGGTCTTGTTGAGGCGAACCAAAGGAAATCCTCTGACTTCACTGTTAAGTAACAATAGCCATTGTATCCCATCACTAGTGTTGCTTGTGAACGCGGCTTCATTGCCCAAAACAAATCAAAATCCCAAAGCCCAAATTTCCCTTACCCCAGATAACCCTTACATTTTGATGAAAACATCGGCCCAAATTGTACATAACTTCCCTTAGCAAAGCAATTTTAAAAATGGCGCCTTGAAAGAAAAGGAGATTGGCTCAAACTTTACAAAACCAAGCAAGTGACTTTACAATGATAATGTTCAGTATAAGAAAAGTTCAATAATGATAATCTGAGTATTGAAAAAACATTGTGACTGTGTGAAATACCTCAGAATTATGCAATAAGGATTTGCTTTTTATTCACACTAATTTTGTTAATAGTGTTATGCACTAAATTTTAATAGCAAGCAAATGATGTCATAATCTCATTAATCATGTCACATTAAACATGGATTTAGTATATATTTTAACAAATATTGAACAATATCAGCCACATTTACTGAGAATTATTGTTTACTAATTTTCTCTTTGCCTGAATAATTTTTGTAAATATCTTTTAGAAGTATTCCTCATTGATTTTTTTAAGTTTATTCCAAATCAAATGGCAATATCAATAGTAATCAATTAAATATACTATCATAATAAAACATAAGATAGGTTTACTTAGTAAGGATTGTTGACTATTTTTATCTTTTGCCTGTCCTTTTTGGTAATATTATTTATCAAATATCACCAAATTATACTATTTATTAATATTTATTTTAACATTAAAGCTAGAATATTAATCAAGTAAGATCTTTTTATTGTGGCTTGTACATATTTCTGTAAAATAGACAAAGAAATGATGGTACATTTTGTACTCTGCATTATCTTATTATTGATAATGTATACTTTGTGCATGTATTGATAATTTTTTCTTATTAATATATTCATACCCTTTAAATTTTCACTTAAGAACAACATTATGTTATGCATTTACTATAATGTTTGAAAAATGTTTGATCATGTAGTACTTCTCATTTATGATTGTTAAATTTGTAAGTTGTATGCTATGTTTATATTACTTGTACCATGATTGAAAAAGAATAAAGTTCTTATTTTTGGATTTTTTTTTTGTTATACCAATTAGCAAATGTTTGAATGATATCACTGAAAGGTTCTACATGGTTACTGCCGTCCTAAAAATAACAACAATACAGTCCTTTTCAGGGAAATGTTCCTACATGTAGTTATTTACCCAACAATCATGTGAAGGTACCTTGAACTTAATACTTAAAATAATTGCTGTTACTGGTATCATCCCATACTATAAATCAAACATTGAAACATGAAAATTATGTGCGAAAGAACAACTGACTTCCAGAAATTTTCCTCATGACTTCCAAAATTCCTTGAAAGGAAGTCCTGACTTCCTAAAAAAAATTCCTAGTGGAAGCCCTGTTTTTTATCTATGCAGGTGTGAAAACACTTGTTAGTGTGTGTTAATTTCTTATTGGCAATTAAATTGAAGTCTTTCATTATAATTGTGTCTTTCCCTGTATAGGTATGATTTTTCTAAATGTTTTTAATTTGTTGCGTGTTTTTTCTTCTTTAAATATAAAATGTCTAAAAGAATAAGAAACTTTTGTAAAATGATTCCTGTTTTGCTAAAAATTTTGATCTTTGAATATTTATTACATGCAAAAATAGTAATACTAAATTCCATTGATTACATATTTCAAAAAGCCAATTTAAAAAGATGTATTTTCAGACAATGTGTTGTTTTAATTTCTGATTTTCTGAATTATATTCATGGATTTGCATAAATAAAATTACTTAAGTTATTTATTGCTAAAAGAAATTAAAATATGACTTAGTCAAAAATGCTAAAAAGTAAATACAAAATGTTTAAACAAAGTCATTGTTCAAACACATCATAATTATCAATAAATGTATAAAACCTCTAAAACCGGACAGGGTTCGACACTAACTGTTTTTACCAGGGATCCCATAGGAATCCCTGAGATTTAATTCAGGGATTCCTCCTAAATGTCAGGGATTCCTCAGATCAAAATAGTAAAATATGGAGGTGAAGAATAACAAGGGATTGCAGCAATTCGATTTCAAATTCTTTTCATTTTTGAGACTATATACAGGATATATTGTCTTGTTTCAGATGCAGAAAATGTAGTTTCTAGTTTATGAGCTCTTTGGAAATAATGCTATTTAAAGTTTTAAAAGCGTTTCAAAGTATATATTTGGACTGCTAAGATAAATTAAAACATAATATATTTTTACATGAACATGGAAACAGAATAACATTAAGCTCACTGAACAAGAGTTCGATTTTGAAAATAGCTTGCTAAAACCCGTTTTCTCCCTGGAGTTGATAATTGTGAACCAGTTTCTGTATCTAAATGAAGGTATAATGCATGTGACTTGACAAGGTGGTTTGAATTTTTGAAGTTAAATAGGAACTGGGGAAACATTTTCCCAGATAGCCTAGGGTTCACTGAAATAGAGCCCACTTATCATATGTAGATCTTTAAAAAGTTACAGGTAATGATCAGGCTCCATATTCCAGAAAGGTCTGGTATGGATAACTGTCTATAATTATTTACTTTCATGTCATTTTTAAGGAAATTCTTAATTATAATCACTTTAAAAAAAATATTTGATTTCATTTTACATTTTTGTGTTTAAAAGGAAAAATCCCATAGATTGTTGTAAATTAAATATTTTGATAATCTTTTACTTAAGCTAATAAAAATATCAAGAAACAGTTTTGTTTGCATTACAAGTACGGTACCTTTAAATGATTTCATTTTTAAAAATGATAAGTTGCTCCAAGTCCCTGACAGGATGGGCAATATCCAAATTTATTGTTCTCAATTTTTACACTGAAATGTCCGATCCCTTTCCTCCCTGTGTATTGATTTTTTTGTAAGTTTTGACACCTGTCACATCAAAGGCACTCACCCCATACAAGCAGTCATGTAGCTAACAACACTGATTGGCTAAAAGCACTGTCAGATGAAATATACGTCATTTGCTGTATATTTCGTCATTTGCTGTATGTTTCACGTAACGCGTAAGGATTTTTTGTATTTCTTGTCGGTAAATAATGCGTGACCTTGATTGAACTTAGACTTTAGTTAGACAATGTTTTTAATTTAGCATTGAAGGCTGTGAGTTTCAAAAAGGATGTTAAACTTAAAAGTATGGATTCTTTTTATTTTGTTTATTAATTATACTTTTGCTGTAGTCTACTGTAAAAAAAAAAATACACCAGTTATCTTTTTTTCACAATTTTGACGAAAATTTACAATGGTCACAAGTGCCGAATTTTGGCAATAAAAAACAAACAACAAACACTGGATAACTGTACAGTAGCTACCGCCGGCATTGCCGATCAACACAAATTTGAAGTACTGTACACATCGCTTGTGTAATAATTATACGATAATTACATTTCTTTTTTGAATTTTCACAACTCTATTTTATGAAGTCAATGCATGATATAAAATTACTGTATACAAGAATGTTTCTTCAGTCAAAACATTTTTGTCATTTTATATCGCAAATGAGTTGATAGCAGTCACTGCACAAAGAAAAACTAGCGTACATAATTCAAGAGTGTAGATTTTACCGGCGGGGTTTTTCTTTTCTTTCTTGAACCACTTTTCTTGAATATTTGTGATTCAATGACATTAATTCAGAAAATTTCAAAAATTTACACAGCAATTTTTCAGGGATCCCAACGGAATCCCCAGCTAGGAATCACCGGGATTCCTCCCGACTTTTTGGGATCCTCGGAATCCCGGGACCCCGTTAGTGTCGAACCCTGCCGGAATCCTCTGAAAACCGGACTTTTGGTCAAGTCCGGAGAGGGTCCAGTTTTAAGAGTTTTTACTGTATTTTGCCCAGTTAAAGATTTTTGTGTCACAGTAGCTGCAACATGCAATTGCCTATCATGAGGCAACACATGTAATCACTGATCACATTATTTTGACTTGCTTATTGTGAGTATGCATGTGCTAAATTCCAGCCCTGATTTTAAAAATTCTGTTTATTTAGGGTGCGATCCGTTTTTTTTATATAAATTGAACACTGGTATTTTACTTTCAAGTCTGATTGATAAATCGCAGTTAACACAGATGGCAATGCTTTGAACAAGCTTCTTGAGAGAAGCAATATAGGTTTCCAGGGCTCTATTAAGTAATTTAAAATAAGATATGAATCATTTATATGTATTCTAATAACATGTCTTAAGATTTTGTCATATATACAGTTAAGATTTACAAAACATCCCTAATTTTTTTTTTTTAAATACAATTACATTCTAAATGGTCAGATTTAAAGTGTGCAAATTGTGGATAGCTATCTAGTTTTTGTGACACTGTCAGTTATTTTATTTTTCAGAGAAAAATGGCACCACCATCATACGCAGATCTTGGTAAAGCTGCAAGAGACCTGTTTAGCAAAGGATACAGTAAGTGTTAAAGATAAACTAATCTTCTGTAGTGATAATGTTTAAAAAATTAAAAATATATATGAAATTTTATTCAACATATGATAAGTGCATAATGAAATAAAAAAAAAAAATTTTTTTTTTTAAACCTTGATCAATAAATTAAAAATCCATATGGACAAATTGTCAAATGGTAAAATTAAACTAAATGTATTGATAACTAATATTGCAACTTCATCAAGAATCGTCATCACCTGTTTAAGTGTTGTACAGCAAAGGGAAACATTGGAAACTTTCCATCCATCTTTTAAAGCCTTTTGATAAAGGATTAATTTGTTGAGATTCAGAGCAACAATTTTAAAATGGTATTGTTCCGGTGAGGAAAATTGGCCTAGTTGTTCCAAAATTTCAGGGAGATGTTTTGACAGGGCCAAAAAACCCTTCTTTGTAGAGGCCGAATATAGGCTGCTTCCCCAACCAAACTAGCCTATTTTTTTCCCCAGTTTGGTCCTGAAAATTCCCCAGTCTTTTGAAATTTTCCATAGAATCTAGAACAAAATTAAATTTTGGCGTTGAATTAAGGTCTTTTACTGCCTTATTAGTATTTCCCAGTGCTTTTTTGCTTATCTATTTTCAAGAACTTGTTAAAAGTTTGTGTTAAATTTGAGACCCCTTTTCCCAAAGTATGCCAAAATCAGGCATATTTTCCCCAAGAAAAAGGCTGAGGCCCCTTCCCCAAAAATGGTGTTTTGGCCCTGTTTGATTCAATTTTGCATAAAGATCTGATGCGCCTATTATTTAGTTATAAACAACTTTTTGATTTGCAGACTATGGAAGCAATAAAGTTGAAGTCAAGACAAAGACTGATAGTGGAGTTAAATTTACAACAAAGGGAAATCACACTAGTGACACTGGTAAAATGACTGGTGAACTTCAGACAGAATACAAATGTGATGATTATGGTATGTTTTACTTTCTTTTGATATCTTTAAGTTAACTACTTACTAGTCACCCATCACCTACTAAGTTAGATTCAACATGTGTCAATTTGCCCTTTGCAAGCTTAGATTGCCGTGAAAATTCTTAAAGAGATATGTTAAAGTGACCATAATTGATATCACTGACTTGTACAAAAAATATATTGAAAATAAAAATAGGGTTACTTATTTTTCTTTTGATAATGCTTATAGCAAGCATCTGTTAAACTGGAATATCATTTGTCAATAATCTGATAAACTAACCTAGTTTACTGATACATACAAATATTATGTTGGCTGAAAAAGACAAAATGTCATCACAATTAGCAATTTTTCTTTATATTGATTAAATATTGTATTAAGTAGTGCCTGGCAATGAGAATTACATGTTATGTTCATTGCCTGTTTTTGAATCCTAAATGGAATGTATATAAAAAAAAACTTGGGTTCTTATCTTTTAACAAATGCTAAGAATTAAAATATGTATTTTTTTTTAATCCATAAAATTCAGATTATATTATTTAGATATACATAATATGTTCAATAAAAAATTGTTCTACCTACCTACTCTATTCAATTTGTTGGCAAGAGTTTTGCAGTTCTGGTTTTAGTATTGTAAAGGTTTATTCATTTTAATGTATTTGACAGGTTTGACATTCAAGGAGACCTGGAACACTGACAACACCCTTGCCACAGAAGTCACCATTGAGGATCAGCTAACTAAAGGATTGAAAATTGCTTTTGATACGTCCTTTGCCCCTCAAACTGGGTGAGTTTAACAACTTATTTCCTTTTTGATACCAAATGTGAAGTATAATCAAGTAAATTTTAAATTTTGAATCATGCTTGCCAACTTCACAGCTTTTATCTCTGGAAATCCCGTTCAGTTTCCCTGGTAAGTTTACCTTACAATGTACAGTCTTCATAATCATGGTGCAGTTTATTTTTTTCCATGCACTTATAGGGCTGGAATGAGGCCCATTCAAAAAGCAAAATTTTCAATGACTTGAAAACTTAAGAAGCAAAGCCATTAAACTATGATATTTATTTAACAAGGTGATTATCTTTAATCAAAGTGGAGACTGTCTTCAATGACCTTTCTTTGGAGAGAAAAAAAAAAGATCTCTAGACTAATGGGTCACTAGACACAATCCCTTTAGTTTTGTGAATAGATAAGTTTCCTTTCATGTAATCAGTATAATTGGGTAGCAATCCCTTTGTCAAAAAGTCAAATATGTGTTACTCTCACTGCCTCACATTCTTTAACCATAAAGATTTATATTGAAATGGACTCGGAAGTTTCTGAGCCATAATCATATTAGTTTCATAATGAAAAAAATAATTAAATGTAATCAGTAATATAAGTTCTTAAACTTATTATCCAGTCTTCATACCCTTTATTTTGATAGAGATTTTAAAGCAAAAAATTTTTTCACAAACTTAAAGGCAAAAAACATGTACAGATTATGGCGTGTCAATTACATAAATCTGATAATAAAATGCAGTGCATATAGCTATTTTTAGTGCACTTGCTACCTGTGGCTTAAGTCACTCTTCAGTGCACAGCCTATACACAATGCAAAGTAAACAATACACAATTGATCAAATTATTGAGTGTGGTATTTGCATGTGTGAATTTTAAGTTGTTAGGCAGGTCTGTCCAATTACTGATTTTGGAGTAATTGTTAGGGTTGTGTCTGAAATAATGCACAGAAAAGCATCTGACGTCTTCCTTCACCAGTAATGCTGGATAATCGCCATATGACCTTTATAGTGTTGGTGTTCAAATTATTTCAAGTAGTTGCATGTAGCAGTATTTATATTATTTTTTTTCGTCAATACTTTTCACAATGCATTTGTTTTCTTCTAAATGACTTAAAAATTGTCATGTTTTCATCTTGATCATTAGGTGGTTGGAATTGCTTCCAGAGAAGATTTTGTTTTGGTAAAGTTATGGTTTTCATTTTGACCAGAAGCAATTTCCAAAATGTAGTGGAAATAATTTGTCAAAACAGAAACTAGAAAATAAATCTTATAATTTATATTACAGTAAGAAGAGTGGAAAGGTAAAGACTGGTTACAAGCAAGACTATGTAAACATAAACTGTGATGTCGACTTTGATTTTTCTGGACCAACTATTAATGGAGCTGCTGTATTAGGGTAAATACCACATTTTTGATCTTAAATAGCTTTTTGTTGCACGCATGTTCTTGTGGTTTGGTGAATATTATTGTATATTATAATATTTACAAGATTGTCATACATTGAGGCTGATAACTGTAATTACTTTACATTTTCAAAATACCAAAGTAACATTTAAATTTAGACTACTCTGTAATGTCCATGTAGAGGTTTAAGTGCATTGTTGGTTGTTTGCAGTCATCGAATTTAGCACTTGGAGGCCAGTGTAAATTTTATGAAAATGTAGTTAAATATATAGTAGAATAAATTCAAAACTGGAATTCTGGCCAGTAAATTCAAAATCTTAAATTCAATGACTGGTTTGTGCAGTAATGAATTCTTTTTAAAGAAGCATGCTATCATTGCAGTTATAATGGATTCCTTGGTGGATACCAGATGGCCTTTGATACCTCTAAGTCAAAATTGATCAAAAGCAACTTTGCTATGGGTTATGAAGCTGGAGACTTTACCCTCCATACAAATGTGTAAGTATTTAACTGTTTTATTTGGTTAGGGTTTTTTTATATGCCCGAAAGAATTTCGGGCATATTATGTTATACCCCCTGGCGTCCGTCCGTCCGTCCGTTAGCAATTTGGTTTCCGGAGCATAACTTAAGTTCCATTTGGCCCACAGTGTTCAAACTTCATAGGATGATTGTCCATATTGGGTAGAAGACCCCTATTGATTTTGGGGTCACAAGGTCAAAGGTCAAGGTCACTATGACCTTAAAACTGAAAACAGTTTCCGGAGCATAACTTAAGTTCCATTTGGCCCACAGTGTTCAAACTTCACAGGATGATTGTCCATATTGGGTAGAAGACCCCTATTGATTTTGGGGTCACAAGGTCAAAGGTCACTATGACCTTAAAACTGAAAACAGTTTCCGGAGCATAACTTAAGTTCCATTTGGCCCACAGTGTTCAAACGTCATAGGATGATTGTCCATATTGGGTAGAAGACCCCTATTGATTTTGGGGTCACAAGGTCAAAGGTCAAGGTCACTATGACCTTTAAACTGAAAACAGTTTCCGGAGCATAACTTAAGTTCCATTTGGCCCACAGTGTTCAAACTTCATAGGATGATTGTCCATATTGGGTAGAAGACCCCTATTGATTTTGGGGTCACAAGGTCAAAAGTCAAGGTCACTATTACCTTAAAACTGAAAACAGTTTCTGGAGCATAACTTAAGTTCCATTTGGCCCACAGTGTTCAAACTTCATAGGATGGTTGTCCATATTGGGTTGAAGACCCCTATTGATTTTGGGGTCACAAGGTCGAAGGTCAAGGTCACTATTACTTAGAAATTGAAAACAGTTTTTTTAGCATAACTTAAGTTCAATTTAGCCCACAGTATTCAAACTTCATAGGATGATTGTCCATATTAGGTAGAAGACTCCTATTGATTTTGGGGTCACAAGGTCAAAAGTCAAGGTCACTATGACCTTAAAACTGAAAACAGTTGTTGGAACATAACTTAAGTTTGATTTGGCCCACTGTGTTTAAACTTCATAGTATGATTGTCCATATTGGGTAGAAGACCCGTATTGATTTTGGGGTCACAAGGTCAAAGTTCAAGGTCACTATTACCTTAGAAATGAAAACAGTTTCCGGGGCATAACTTAAGTTCCATTTGGACCACGATATTGAAACTTCAAAGGATGATTGTTTTGTGAAGGAGTTAATACTTTATTTAATTCCCATGTCTTACAAATTCTTTATCTTTACTAAAAAAAAAATCACTTTCGGGCATATAATGCTCCGCCTAGCGGTGCTCTTGTTTTTATCTCTACCACTTTATAATGGTCTCTTGATTACCTTTTAACTAACGCACTGAAGGTAGGCTTTGGTTCAAAATACTTGGCCTCATCTTACAAGGTATTTTTGTGTAAATGTATCACACACTCTATTAAATCTTCTACTTTTAAAAAGCTCACATAGCAACAGACTCTTGAGGATGATTTAAAAATAAACACACGATTTATGGGCCTTTGAAATTTACAAGTGTAAAATGTTCAACACTTATGATACCAAATTAGTATCAAATTTCGTCAGCAATCGTTTTGATGAGTATTTACTTGTTTGCTGAGGAAATTTTCTGCTTTTACCAATTTTGAATTGATTTGGTACTTTTCTGTTGTGTTTCAAAGAAAAGATAAAGAAGAAAGAAAATTATTACATTTTATCTAATAAAAAAAGGATTCTCTAAGTCTTGCATAACAAGTTTATCTTGATAATGTATCTTACAGAAATGATGCCTCTGAATTTGCTGGATCTATTCACCAGAAGGTCAATGATGATGTAGATGTAGGTGTTAGTCTGTCATGGACTTCAGGAAGTAATGTGACCAGGTTTGGTCTAGCTAGCAAGTACACATTAGACAAAAATGCATCAATTAACGTAAGTACTTGTACAAACTAATTCTTTTGTTGTTTGTGTAGTGTAAACAAATGTAGTCACTTACTGTTATAAGGCTTGTTCATTACAACCCATGTAGATGAATGTTTTTTGTGTGTGTGGGGGGGAGTGTATTTGGCCGAGTGGGTAAGGTTGCTGACTTCAAACCACTTGTCTCTCACTGCTGTAGGTTGATCAGTGCCAGCGTCTTCAAATTCTTTAATGTGTAAAAGCTATCCTGCTAGCTAATAGCACCCGGGTGGTTCTTCTCGGTGCCAGAAATAATGCACAAAGGGGCCCCTTATGTGTGTATTTGGGTTTATTTTTACTAGCCACTCGTTGCACAAATGGGCAAGTCCTCCAGAAGAGTATAAGTCATTTTAGATTTTGAAGGATAGTGCAAGATACAGAAAGATGCCCCAATTCCAGAAGCTTATCCTGGTTCTTTAGTGTGCCAGGTTGTAAAGCTCTCTTGCAAGGGATCTCGATTTAAATATTAATTTAATTAGAAGGCCAACCTGGGAATGGAACCAACAATGTTGAGATTACAAGTCTCGCGCTCTAACCACTTGAGCTATTGCGGCTGGCGGGGCACCTTAGGCCTTCCTTTACCAATATAGCTGGAAAGTCATCATATTACCTGTACTTTGTATACTGTAGGGAATAAATTTAAAAAAAAAATGTGATCAAAATTTCTTTACATAAATAATATTGATAATTTTATCATTTTAATACAAAATGCATTTATATTGAAAGAGAAGACGTCTGTTTATTTAGAATGGAATTATGTCTTAACTCCCTACCATTTTCTATACTGAAGCAATTTTCATCTGCTTAAATTACTTTAGATTTTTGACGATGAGACATTTAATAGTGTTGTATTTATTGCAGGCCAAGGTTAACAACAGTGGACAGATTGGTCTAGGATATACACAAAACCTTAGAAAAGGTGAGTATTTTGACTTCATTTGGTACACATCATTGGAGTATCTGTTTGATTACTGACTATACTTTCATTCTGATATGGTAAGTTCCAGTTATAGAACTTGAAAAAGTCTGTTAAAGAAATTCAGCAGGTTAAGAACTTAAAAGGTATTTGCTGCAAACAATGTTGTTGTTGTTTTTGTTGTTGTTCTATGGTCACATATAAACTGTAATATAAAAGCTATAGTGTGTTGAACTGTGATTGGGAAATTGTTGTATATTATAACTGGACTGTAAATACTTGTATGTATATTGTGCCACAACCACATTTTAATACTTTTTTTTTATGATGAATTTCTATCATTTTTGTTAATGTCATATAGATATTGTACAATGCCATTGAATATGTTTGTATGTTGAAATACGCATTTAATCAAATTTTTAAGTTTAAATATTGTTATTTTGTCTTGCAGAAAAATGAATTAAACATGATAATATATATATATTACAGGTGTGAAGCTTACACTATCTTCTCTGATTGAAGCTAAGAACATCAATGCTGGTGGTCACAAAATTGGAATGGGTCTCGAGTTTGATCTGTAAAGACATTGTTTCAATAAAATATACAGTGACACTTCTCATAATATACTGACCGTGTGATGCATAAAGATCTATAGAGAATTGTGTAACAATTGTATTGTTGTAAGGTTCTTGTTTAGTTTTGTTGAAAGCTGAATTTTATTTTGAAGAATAATGAATGCTACTTATTCAGTAGTGTGATTGATAAAACCATTTTTGCCATAATGTTGAAATTGTTCAAGAGATCTGTTGTAGATCATGGTGTTTGTTAAAAATTGTCTGTTTCAACAGTTTTATTAACATAATGTAGAATTAACTAATACTCTAGAGTGTGGGTGTGAATGAGTTATAAATGAATATTGTGCAATCTTGTGTCTGTGTAAAGTTTTAAGTTAATATATACTGGGAACCAACTTACAGCAAGTTATATATGTGTACCAAATGAGAAATGTGTACCAAATGAGAAAGTGCTATACTGTATACATTATGTAAAAAGTGTGCACTGATAGTTGATTGTAGGGGATACTTTGAAGTCAGTGTCCCCTTTGCTTTTTATGTTGTATGAAGTGTTATGACCACAGGGCTATGTATTATGTTTAAAGTTTTGTAAACTAGAGTATAATGAATGTGTGAATGTGGTTTTGGAAAAGTTTTTTTTTTACAAATGTACTAATGATTAATCTCATTATGATATATGAAAATGTAAACTAATATTTTTAAGTTAGTACATCTTAATATTCAACATTTATCTCAACTTCTATAACTTCTCCACCTTTGTCTATGCATTAAGACTTACAAGAAAAAATATTGAGACATCTGTGTACAATAGGAAAGGATGGGCTTTTTGCAAAGAAGGCTTTAGAAGCCCATACTGCCTGTTGTAAAATGCTTTATAATGTTCAGTGATAAAAGATCATGTGTATCATGCGGCAGCTTATTATTATGAGAACCAGAATATCTGATTAATAATTAATTGTTGTGATATTATTATGTAGGCTTAATCAGACAGAGGTTTTACTTTTTTATGTCACTCTGTTAGTCTTTAGTGATTTATTTTCTGGGTTTTCTTTTGGCATGTTTTCTATTGATTTCTGGATCTTTCATCAGAATCTTGAATGCAACATTATTTTTTTTCTGTGAAACAATTTTTTTTATCTACACCATCAAATATTTTTGTGTTTGAGTTTCCTAGCTTCTTATCAGTTTATCCTTGTATGAATAAACTACAGTAAAATAAAAACTGCAGGTCTTAAAAATGTTGTTTTTGTTTATAAAAATGTATGACTGAAATCTCCTCATAATTCCAATCTCTGTGGCAGATTTGTTTTAATTGTTAATTTCGAAATTATTTGACCTTTATGGCTATGGGTTCAAAATGTACTAGCGGTGTTGAATTATTCCATATGGGGAAGATTGCTTACATAGATGAGCTGTTGCCAAAGAGCTGCTGAGATTTTCCTGCACCAGTGACTGACTTAGTCTGAGAAATAGAAAAACTTTAAAGATTAAAAATAAAAAACACTTGGAAAATTAAAACCTGAAACAACATGCATTACACCCTAGTATTTCATTTCAAAATTGGCAAAATTAAATTGCAAACTTGTTTATTTAATGAGGATATGTTAATGTACTGATCAGATGTACATATCATGTCATGACAAAACCAACATAGTGCGTTTGCATCCGCGCAGTCTGATCAGGATCCATGCTGATTACAAGTAGAGAAACTGATAGCGAACAGCGTGGATCCTGATCAGACTGCGCAGATGTGCAGGCTGCTCTGGATCCATGCTGGTTGCAAACCATTATGTTGGTTTTGTCATGAAGTGGCTCATATATGTATGGGAGATTTCAGGTATCTTTAAAGAAAGAAATGTGAGCCAGGGATAATGACCATTACTTTAGTATTATAACTTTAATTGCAACGTCTTCATTGAACAAATACTAAGTGAGACAAATTTGATCTCGCTAAATGTGTTGTTCTCTTGCAATCGTGGAACACAAGTTATTCTTGTAAATTTGTATTGAGTGCTTTGAAAATCCCTTATCCTGTAAGCATAAGTAGCCATCAATATCCTTGACTTGCACAAAACTAAAAAATAAAGGAAGCACCATCATTTAGTGTGGATCTATATAATTCCACGTATGTGGTGTATTTTGAGAACAAGCACCTATTATCCCTATATTGCAAGCTTATTTAATCCAATTTGCATGGTGTGAGCACAGGGAAGAAAGCATTTTCCCAGTGTGAAAACTATAATATCTAATAAATGCCGTTTTTATTTGTTTGGGTCGTCTGACCAAACAAATAATGGTAGCGAAATTTCAGAGTCTGATGCTGTTGATTGCAAATGCCGAAAGTAGGCCGCTTTTTTGAAGCGGTTACTTCCCTTTATATGTTCAATAACGCCGAAAAAATTCAGGGGAGATCACTGCGTAAAAGATGGTCAAATGACGGGCGCATTAATTTTCAAGCAAAATAATTCCCGAATGGTCGAAGATTTCTAATATTGTTTTATCTTTTATAGATATACATGCTTATAATAAACTCCATGATTATTAACATCTGTGTTAAACAACAGTAAGCGTCGAAATAATAAGGGTTACAAACCCTAATTTAGAATAATATGGCCTTTTACATATAACTTCACCGTGGCCGAGGGGTCTGGAGTTCAAATCCAGGAAGGCAACTCTTTTTTTTTTCTTCAAATTGTTTAAGTCAAATAAACATTGAATTGAATACCAGTGTTGCAATTAGTCTTAAAGCCAATTAACTACAATTAAAACGCTGGAAAGCACTGGTGGCACTATACAAAAACAAATTGGTTTATAATCTCACAACCTTCACCTTTCCTGAGACCCAAACAAATTTAGCGCCTTCTGTGCTTTGATTAAGCCTGGCTTTCTTAGAAAAAACAGTTATTGTTACAGTCATGGCGGTGTTGCCATCATAACATTTTAAGTTCTTGGTTTATTGTCTTCATACTTTGTCACAGCAATCATTTGGACAAGACCTTCAAGTAGACTTGACTAAACTTGACCTTTATTCATAAATGACCTTGACCTTTAAGACCTTTCGTCTAAATTTTGCTTGATTTTTGCTATAAGTGGCGCTAAATTTTGCTTGATTTTTGCTATATAATAGTGTTTTTTTTGAATGGATTGCCTTCAAACTTGAAAATATAAATTTCTAGTTAACCAGTCAGACCTTGACCTTTACTCATAAATAACATTGACCTACTGAAATTTTCACGTTGCTATAATTTTGTTTTTAATGAATAAAGACACAACATTTTTAGGATAAGACCTATCAAATTGATGAACTTGACCTTGAAGGTTAAATTATCTATAACTGGCTATAACTTTGTTATATATAAATGGATTAACTTCATATTCAGACACAACCTCTTTTAGGTCAGGACCTACATGTATATCAGACTACAAATGGCCTTGACCTGAAGATCAAATTACTGAAGTTTCACTAATTAATGCTATAATAGGCTGTAACTTTGTCATTTATCAATGGATTATTTTCATACTTGGACAAAACAACCTTTTGCGCAACACCTGAAAGGTTGAACTGACCTTGACCCTGAGCTTTAAAATGACCTTGACCGGCAAGGTCAAATTATGGAATTTTATGAAAAGTTTTCATAATTTTGTTATTTTTTGATGGACAAAACAACACTTAACGAGCACGTTGAATAATTAAGATTTAACATTGACTGTCGAATGATTGAATTTTGCTTATATTCTCTTAACTTTTCATTTGTTTATAGAAATGATTCATACTTGGACAAAACAACAAGTGTGGCTATTCAGACCAATTAAAATTAATAAAAGGAAAAATCCTTAAATTTTCTTTTTAAAGATTTGTTTAAACCATTTAATTGTTTGCTTTAAGTAAAAGTAAAGAAGTCGATCTTTGCCCCGCCCGGCGGCAGCTCTTGTTAAAACTCATTGCAACCTCAACTGACAGCTGTCTGTGAAAAGATAAAAGTGCAACACAAATACTCACCGGAATTTAACTGTGAATCTCATTTTGGCATGAAATCCCTTACAATCTATCTGGTACACTGTAACACATATGTAAACTTATTTAAAGGAACCAGATAACTTATCTATCTGGCATGCATGAACCCTAGATGATCGACGTTACTTACGTGACGACTCGCCAAATCAACAACATTCTAAATCGCATGCCTGGAACCTAAAACAATTGATAATTGGTCAAATATTGAGAGCCAATTACGTCATAAAAATGGTTTAATTTTATTTTTCAAAAGCTCTTTTATTAATGTTTGGATTCCTCTTTTAGTTTTGAAAATAAAAGTAACGTATTGACCACTTGACAATGATTCACTATCAGCGCTACTTTCATCAGGTAATAAGCACCTTACGTGCTCTAAAACGTATTTAATGTTATAAAACCCAAGTTTGCTCTTTTAAAAGAAGGAAAAATTACATCATTTTCGAGACAAAATGTGCCTTTAACGATTTTTGAACTTTAACTGTTACATATACCTTTAATTTTACAAACACGATATTAGTACAATTAAATGAATTTATCTGTTTGTACTTAGCAACACTTCAACTTATAACATAAATTGTATCTGTTGAAGAGATACCGTGTCAATTTGGATTTACATAATTATCATTTTAGGCTCGGGTTGTCGGGGGTTTTTGCAATAAATACCGATGTTAACGTGCGCGGCAACAACGATATAAGATCTTGTAGTTGACGAGGAAGCTATTCTACTGCTCAAGATATACATTATATTTACAAGCTTTAGTTTGCACAGTTGTGGAAGTTTGAAAACATAAAAATGGAGATCAACTTTAAGGGAAAACGTGCACTGGTTACCGGTGGTGGACGAGGTTTGTGAATAACATTTTTATTTGAATGATGTTTAACCTTTAGGGGTTACTTGGAAACTTGAAACTTATTATGTACAGTCTGTTATTTCTGCTTAATACTCTGTTTACTGCTAATAATGTTAATCATGAGGTTATGCCAGGTTAATTAGGCTGGGCTAATCAGTAAGTGGCTTATACAAGCTTACCAATACCAAGTTAGTCAATATTTTACAAATGCAGTAGCTTTCTTTTAACATCTCTTTTGTGCTCATTTTTAGGAATTGGTAAATCTATTGCGCAAGCTTTATTAAAATGTGGAGCAGAAGTGATTATCTTGGAAAAAATAGAGGCGGATTTGCAGAAATTCAAAGAAGAGGTAATTATCATTATCCAAATATTAGTGCAGTATGCACATCATAGTAAACAAGTTGCTCGTCAAATTTTGATAATCTGACAATACTTGGTCATGTATTCATTAAACTAACGGCTAGTACGTCTTCCCAGGTCAATAGAGAATTTATATAGAAAGTTCCTGTATGTCTTGCATGTATTAACAGCAAGCGGTGACAAAACAAATAAAACATCATAAAATCTCGCTACAAATTCAAATTTGTTCCATCCTTTTTATAAATGTGCTTTACAAAATGTACAATCAATTACCTTTTTGACAGGAACCAAGCATAATTCCAGTACCATGTGATTTGAGTGACTGGGAAGGGACAAGAAAGGCGGTTGAAGGTGTTGGACCCGTGCATCTTCTGGTAAACAGTGCTGGTGTCGCTGCCATCACGCCTTTCTTGGATGTTAAAAAGAGTGAATTAGACTGGTAGGTAACGGTAAATGACGCACTGTACTAATTTTGCTGAAATCTTATCATGATTTAAAAATTAAAATCAACTTGACATGATGGATAATCGAATGTTCGTTTTTAACGAAACATAATGGTCTCCTACTCGAGGTGATCTGATACCATTCGATTTTTCA